TGAAAAAATATACATGGTGTCGTTTACCTACGGGGCACAGATGTAGATGATTTAAAGGTATATTGAATTCCAGTGCATATCAGAAAAGATTTTAAATCTTATAATATGTATTATAGAAGACTCTTTTCTTTTTAAAAGGAATCCGATATTTCCGCTAATTATGATATTAAATAAAAAATTCCACATTTCAAGATAATTTGATAGAATAAATAAATTGTTAGATTTTTAAATAAAAATGTATTTATTACAATTGTTAGCGAGGTGGTTAAACCCAAAGTTTCAGACAATATAAAAGGCCTTCTCTAAAATAAGAAAAATAGAAAAAAAAGCTAAAATATAGTTCGTATTTAGTACAAGGCGTACATAAAATACGTTTATACAAGAAGGATTAAGAAACATAATTTTTTTTCTGGGCTAAAAAGGCAAAAAAAAAAAAATATGGATTTGTGAGAGTTCGTTTGAAACCTAAAATAGTAAAATTATAAATAATTATTTTTTCTATCTGTGGTATGATTATGAGAAATAGATTTCTACGGTCTCATAAAGAATAATATCTCTTCTTTAGTCGTTGCGGAAATCTAAGATAATTACCAGTCCTACAGAATTTGCTCACCAAAGAGTTACTGCTTCTTAAAATATAATTTGAAAAGATGAATTATCCGAAGAATTAAGATTAGGCAGAAACAGATAAGACTACTATACTTTATTTTAATAATTCACTGTTGATTTTTTGTAAGTTTAACGTATGTATACAAAATTTAATTTTCATATTAAGCGAATCTACAAAAATAAGTATTAATTGATATTAAAGCTAGCATAAAAGCTACCGGAAGCCGAATATATGCAATCTGGGACCGCATGCGGCATCGTGGCCGCACGTTCCCCATCGGTGATCTAGACGATGAAATATATCCTTTCTAAGTGTAAACATCTAAATTCTTCTTGATGACAGCAAGATTTAAATCAGGTTGACAGTAATAACATTTAACATTACACAGAATTAAGGCAAATAAGAAAATATCTCCCTCATTAGTGTTGCCCAAGTGCAAGACCGAGACGAGTCTTGGTCTTGCAAACTCAGTCTTGATCTCGGACATAAGTCTCGCAATTACTTATTAGCTTATTACTATAGAGATATTACTGTAATTTTTTAGATAGAATAAACTTAACTAAGCCCGAATGAAAAATTAGAGGAGTTAAATGCAAAAGTATATTGATCATACCAATTATTTACATATAGTAACTAAGATTGTCAAGTATCAGTCACTATTTTCCTTAATTGTTATTCAAAAAGGGATTTTTGTTACCAAAGTGCAAGACCAAGACCGATTTTGGGTAACACTATTCCTCAGGATAATGAACTTTGAGGGAAAGGCAGCCATAAAGTTTCTCATAAGGTAAAACACGAACAATAGTAATGTAACAATAATCTGCTTCATCAATAGTATAAATTATATCATCTTTCAAATTTAACGTTCCAAAAATATTGTTTTTTTATCAATTGAAGTTACTTAGGAATCAACTAGTAAACTGCGCTATAAAAAAATTTGCTATACTTAAATGCAAAATTTTATATTTAATAATAATTCTTAACAATCAGAGAATAGAACATTCGTCTAATTATAGGCACACGTAATAATCCATAGTAGGTATTGAATAGATATATTTCTACAAATATATAAACCTGAAAAATTACTAGTGATAAAGCTAAAGATACGCATTATGTAGATAGTGGAGTTGAAGATCTCCAAAGAAGTTTATTAGGACCAGGGTTTTTTTAACTTTTTATTTTTGGTATATTTTGTTTATCGCAGGCGAAATATAAAAGAGAATACTATTGAGTTTAAAAAATAAAAAATGGCTAATATATTAATATTACCCACAATAATATAAATATTAGACTTGATTAAATTTTCTTTAAATGCCACTAGAATTAGTCTGTTTTAAAATAATTTTAAGAGCTAAACTACTTTGTTATTTTTGATCAGCTTTATGGACAAGACTTTACCTATGTTTATGAATACTCCTAAGTCCGCATTAAGTTTTAGTATAATATTATCTTGCAAATGCAACTTTCATTGATAGGCTGAAACGCAGCAATGAATTGAATTATTTTCATAAGAATGGTAAATAGTAAAACAAAAATTATCAGAAACCAACATTTAGTAGGTCACTAAACATAAGATCAATTCTGCTAATTGAGATCTGTGTAGAGAATGGACTATGGTGAAATGTAATAAAAGAAAATTTATTAAAGAAAATTACAGTATTTTTTTTTTAATTTAGAAAGTAATTCAGGAATTAGTTAAATGAAAAACATATCAAGCCTCTAAAAAAAAAATACTTGCTTGGAATTGATTAGGCTTATTTATCATTTATGAAACCATTGTTATTTTGAAAAGAAAGAATTGAACATTACTTGTCTTTAATTACAAAAAAAAATCCCAGAAAACCTTAACTGAATTAAAATTAAATCAAAACTTATCAAACAAGGAAGCTTTTCTAAAATTATAGTGAGCCAGTTACTAGCACGGGCGGATCTACGGGGGGAGGGAGCTTTCGGGCTGAAGCCCCCCCCCCAAAATGGAAAAATATAACCATGTTTTATGGGAAAAAATATTTTAAAAATACCTCTTAAAGTATTATTGTTCTTGTAATTACATTTAAAAGTACTTAAGGAATAACTTAAACACCATTTCGTATAGGTAGTTAGTTTCTTTCTGTTTTCCCAAAGTAATTATCGTTATTTTTATGAAAAAAAAAAAGGTTTCGGGCTGAAGCCAGCCCAAAATTAAATCCTGGATCCGCTAGTGGTTACTAGTTACTAGCAGATAGTGTGACAAAAATCTTTGTGAATAATCTAAGTTTTAATGAATAACAACTCAAAATCATCATCAAAATGATTTTAAAAAGGACAAATTGTTCCTGCATTTGAAGAAATATTGGTCTAGTTTATTATGCTTCGATAAATAATTACGAAAACAAAATAATAATTTAGTTAATTTCACCTCTAAAAAATGGGAGACTTAAAAGAACAAAAAACTATAATAATATTTCTGTATATTATAAGACCATAGCATATATAAAGTTTTTGTATCTCTCGAGTTCAAATATTATCCCCTTAAATATTTTCCTTTACTTACGTTCTACTTTATAAACATAGTTGTAAATACAAAGAAAATAGTAAAAATTAAAATAGTAAGAACATTAAGAGTAACATTTCTACCTATGAAATAAATTACATATATTTCAAAATAAAAAATTTAAATTATGAACGACGATTCTCTACATCCAAAACGTAGCTCACATTGTTAAGATAAAATATAATAAATAGGAAACAAGTATAGGTTACCATTATTATTCGGAGCCAGCGTCCATATTTATACCAAGAATATTTTCCAACTTTTATTATACTTAACAAAGCCTTAAGTACCTCAGATGTTATTAAAAAAACGAACTAAATTAATAGACGTTTTGCAGGTCCAGTTATCAGCATTATATAACAATTAGAACATATTTAGTACAATGGGAGACATACATAGTACATCTCACTTAAAAAAAGAAATCAAATGAAAATATAAACATAAAAATCATTATTAGCTGTTTTGTTATTAAGTGCTATTTCTAAAACCCCTGTTGTTATTTTTTTTTTTTTATTAAACATAAATACATATTTTAACGTTTACTTCTTTTTTAGTAAGTAAGATTTTCGATGTAAGTTTAACCATCACAGTTAGAGGCATGGACGCCATGTTGATCAAGAAGTTTCTAAAATTAATATTTTTTTAATAATCAAAACGTGATATTATTATTACAATGGTGGATATGTACAGGTAATAGTTTCTTGTTACCTTCTCAAGCATTAGATAAAAATGTAAATAAACAAGGATCAATTCCTGTAGTAGAGATATATAAAAACAAGAATCGATATCACCATATTTTTATGTAAATAAAAAGTTTACTTTCATAATTAATTTACTATAATACTTTCAAAGTCACAGAAAAAAATTAAATTAAAATTTTACAATGATTTATTGTATTTTTTTTTTATGTTGATAATACAAGTACTCTAGAGCGACATAATATCAAATCTCATAATGCTTTATTTAACTAGAGATAAATCTCAATGCTATTATGCAACAAACCTCAATTAAATTGACATGGGCTTAATTAAAGAATATTAAATAAGGAAGTTTTAATTAAAGTGTAGTTTAGTTCAGATGTAGGGTGGTAAAAAAATTAATAAAAAATCAACAGTTTTTAAATTTTGATCTATATATTTTAATTTATATTCATACTTAAGAACAGTTTAATGAAGGTCAAAATTAACTTTAGATAGTTATTTATTGAACGTTTCGGAGGAATCAGTGTCTACCAAAAAAATTGAACTGAATCAGTTTAAATCGGAGATTGTATTAAACTTATTATATAATATTGACTTAGCCAATTCCTTTGGAAGAATAAAATATTGCTGCTGAGTGGGAAATAGATTCCCCGAAACGTACAATTAATAACTATCAAAAGTTAAGTTTGATTAAGGCATACACTTAAGTGCGAATAGAAAAAAAATCTTATTTTTAATTTTTAAATGTAAAAAAAAAAACACAATTTAATGTAGCTAAGTTGCTCAAAAGTCTCATTTAAATTATTTTTGCAGGAACGAACTTTAGTTGTAATTGAAGGAAATTTTATCTAGTTTACTACGAATCAGTGGTTAATTAATAAATGTTTCAGTTATAGCTTCCTATAAAAGAGTAAAAAACAAGGGACTCTAAAAACACAGTTTAAATTTTCTGTTTATCTGCCCAAACTTAGACTAGTTTATATCAACACTTTTTCAACCCATGAGAGATCTGATATCACCAATTTAAATATTTCATTTACTTTCTTGACATCCTCCATAAATGCGTAATATAATTAGAACTTACCGAGTAATTTCATTGGATGGAACCAATGTCCGTTGAATCGCTTTCAATCTCACACTAGCGAAATATACCGAAATGCGAACTCGGTGGAGACTCGCGAGTAGGTTTACAACAGAGCGCGGAGGGATATCCATTCGATTGGAGATGGGAAGATTCCAAGAAGAACGCCATCGCAGAGCACCTGACCTCCACTTGGCGGTGTGTATCTGAAACGGTCGTCAGGCAACGCTTGTTCGATAAATTCCAACCCGGGACAAACTCATTACGGATTCAACAGCACGCTCAGTTTTAATCGTCAACGATCAAAAACGGAATTTATAAAACAGACAATTTATCAGTGAAAGCTGCAATCCTGAAACTGCATTGACTTTAGCTAACCATTTTTTTTTTTAAATGTCACCAACAGGAACAAATATAATTAGATACTATATCAGAAATATAATTTTCTTGATCCCTTTTTTAGTTCACCTTTGCAGACAGCAATGATTCCTTTGATTGATAATTCCTTCAGACAATGGCAATGTGAAGAGTGAACATGGATCAAGTCGAGACATTCTGAAAGGATATGTACGATTAAGAAATGATAGGTGTAAATGGTAGTCTAACGGTAAGACTTCAGACATCTGCCCTACGACAGTATGCAGCTAGTACAAGACAAAGCAAAATTAATCAGACAGATGGTATACCCATGACTGTGCCTCAACAGGTTCTGTACGGATGGCATCCGGTCGAGTCACGTCTAATCCGTCTAGTTGACTAAATTAAAGAGATAGTACTAGAACGAGACGTAAATCGAGAGGATGAACACGTACAAATTAAATTAAATAAAATAAACAAAAAAACACAGTGATGTATGCAAAATCATGATAGTCCAGTCAAGGAATGAGGTGTAGAGTACGTGAGCAGAAATCCAAGGAATTCTTTCAGAAACTTGCTCAGGGGGTTTAAGATGTGAATTTGTCAAAAGTCCTGAGGACTAAGTGGTGAGCCGGAGAGAGGACGAGGGAGGGAGGGGATGTAAAAAATTTCTGGTTTCCGCTTTTATCTTGAAAACGGTGCATCGCAGGAGAACGCTCAGAATTAGAATCCCTATTAGAATATATATACATATGCAAATTAAACTCCAACCAATCTTATTTACAACTCTTCAAAAGTTACACCAATTATAACTTAATGTATGAATTAAAGGATTATGCACAATAATTTAACTTTAGTTATTATCGTTATTCTACTTCTCTAAATATTTATATAAGACATTATGTATATGTGTTGGTATATACTGTATGTTTAAATGTCACTTAAATAAGCAATATGTAATATATACCGTACTTCAATCTTCATTTGTAGTCCGCTAAAAGTAATATTGTTTGTTACCATTTTTGATTATAATCGAACAGATTACCATATCGATATTATATATTAACATATAATGTAGCGAAAATATTACCAACCATAATGTAATGTTTGGTCTTATATTTTATCGTATATACTTTTTTTCTTTTTCCGATAATTGATAATATGCATGTTTAATACGAACCTTCAGAAACATCAAAATTTGGCTGTAAAAGGCCTCTAATCATTATACGCCACTGGAAAAACAATTTCTTTTTAAGTGATTTCATTAATAAAAAAAATTCATATAAATAAATTGGATAATAGCTCCTTGATATTACAACCAGTACAAACGCTGTTAGAGCTATGTGAATGTATTAGAGATAGTGTTTGTTGAGCATAGACATATCATTGGCATATTTTTGTTTCTGGGTCCAACAATGCTCTTAATAATTATTTAACTCCAATAGAACTACTTTTAAGAGTTTCGTTTCTTATTCCTATAGAAATGCAATGACTGTATATGATAAGATACTCAAAGAACAACAATATGTGCAGTAAGTTTTATCCCAATACTTATTCTTGAAAGATATCTCCATCAATTATATCATGAATCCTATAGAGCATATATAAATATATATATATAAATGCCAACCGTAAATTTGCTCCACAAAGCAAATTCGCAGGATGATTTTAAAATGAGCAGCGATTTATACCTGACATTTTTTTAAACGCATAGTGATTTTGCTCATCGCTAGAACAACGCAGAGTTTCTCGGATATAACCGAAAACCGAAAAAAAACAAAAACGACATTCTAATCATAGGTGCTTCGCCACTTTTGGCTCGCCTCATAGGAGTGGAGGCATATAGTATGTCTACACTCTAATTAGTCGGAACATTGTCTTCTGCAATCACCAATTGACTGGACCAAAACGTCTAGAACATACAAAAATATTTACTGAAATTTACTGGGGTTATACAACCCAACACAAATAATTTAGTTCATCTGATCCATTAGGGATTGCAGAAGTGTCAAAATACTAAAGCGGAAACAATATATATAAAATGTGTGCCTATTACTTTTTCTTTATTATAGAAATTCATCTGTTTAGAAATTAATGTTTACTGTCATTTTATATTCTTGCTGTTATGATTTAAGTGAAATAGATTAGATAAGAAATTTATATTTTTACTGATAGATAAATATGCTTCTGTAGACATTCTAATGTAAGAATTTTAAAATTATATAATATTCACGTTGTGGCAGATAAATAAAATAATATACTAAATATAGGGAATAACTGAGAGATACTTTAAAAAACGTTTCGCTAAATAAATAATTAATAAAAACTTTATACAAACGTTAGAAGTTATCATTATGGGATACAATTAGATGCTGGATTCCTTGGATTAAATTTTATTCCGTAAGTATTTATTCCAAATTCTAACTCCAATGTCCTTCAAAGAGACAATTGAGTTCGGGATGGGTACATAGTTAAACAAACATATGCTAGGCCGTCAGCTGTATAAACAGTTTAGAAATAGGGAACATGATATTTGATTAACTTCAGAAGAAATAGGATTATTAAATATTTTTTCAATTTTGTAACTAGGAATTTTAATTTAAAATAAAGATAATGGCAACTAGACTACGATTTTTCAATGTCATGTTATAGTTAAAAATTAATAATAATGTCATAATATCTCATCGTTTAGAAGTTTCACAGCCCCCCTCCCCCACTTTCAGGCCTAGAAATTCGAATCATTTTTACGAGAAAACTCCTTTTGTCCAGCATATAAAATTTCTATCTTTCCTTAATAAATTATTTAAAATTATTGAGTAGTGTCCTTCAGTTTAGCTTCTTAACGTAACAGAACCTCACCAAGATCAATAACTAATTTATTAATGTAAACCAATATAAATGTATAAAATATAAAATTTCCTAAAGACTGGGTACTAAAGCTCGAATTGTTTGTTAACTCGCAAACGTTAAACTTCTTAAAGTTAAAAAAAAAAATCAGAAAAGTCTAGGTTTTTACTGGACTATTAGGATTATAATCATTATATTACTCTTTCAGTTGATAGAATGACTAACCCCAAATTTAATATTATTGAGCGATATTTCTAGTTGGAAAATTTATAATATCTGTATAGACAGTGAGTAAGTAGATTCCAGAATAGGTGATTGCAGTTCTGAAATATAGATGCTTTTTTTTTACTGTGAATAAAAGTATAAATTTTCTCACTAGAAACATCACTAAAATTAATAATAAAAAATGTTGAAATTGAAGTAAGTTATTCAGTCAAATGAAAGGCTCGTATATTTGTCATATTTATAAATAAATGTATACATCTGATTGTTCTGAAATTTTTTTTTTTATTATAATAAAAATGGATAAACTTAATTGGGGAGAAAAACTGCCGGTTGAGCTTGATAATGACCAAATCGTGGTATAGTTTTCATTTTAACTTTAATTTTCAAGGTTAAAAAATTGAACAAGACGAGGACCTGCCGTTTGGTTAAAGAAATGAAAAACGCCCAAAAACATACACAATTAATATTATAGATTGTAGTGGTATATTTAAAAAAAAAATTATTTATTTATTTTAAAAGTACTGAATATCATAAAATAACTCTGTTGTAGTTGAAAAACATAAACTTTGATTATAGTTCATTCATAAAGGAAGGAGATGGTCCGGAGTGGCGGTCATAAATAGGCTAAATAGTGGTAAAACTATTTTATTAAAAGCGAACGTTTCGACCCGACTTTGCAGGTATTCTTCAGGGCTAGAACGGACAAGATACAAAAAGATAGAGAATTGTAACAGTTATATAATATTTAGACAAAAATTATAAACAATGTGAATAAGCTTATTGAAATTATAAACAGTAAATACATTAAAAGATGAACAGAGTAAGCTAAATAACAAGATCCTAAACTAAAGTAAATAGATGCTAACAATTGTTGTAGTGTAATATATAATAAATGCAAATGTGAATATCTGTAGATCTGTAGAAGTATATTCACATTAGCATTTATTATATATTACACTACAACAATTGTTAGCATCTATTTACTTTAGTTTAGGATCTTGTTATTTAGCTTACTCTGTTCATCTTTTAATGTATTTACTGTTTATAATTTCAATAAGCTTATTCACATTGTTTTTAATTTTTGTCTAAATATTATATAACTGTTACAATTCTCTATCTTTTTGTATCTTGTCCGTTTTAGCCCTGAAGAAGACCTGCAAAGTCGGGTCGAAACGTCGGCTTTTAATAAAATAGTTTTACCAATATTTAGCCTATTTAGCCTAACCACCCCGGACCATCTCCTTCCTCAATAAAAATATCGACTGAAATTCCTGAAAAAAGTTTTTTTCTTCCCGAGCTCTACATTATAAAATTCAGGACACAGTATAATTCATTTGAGCACGATGTCAAAATCAATTCCGTTCCGATCCGACTACTTATTTTGAAACTGAAATTATTTGAAGCTAGTTTTGAAACTGAAATTATTTTCAATGACTTTTATTAAAGTCTAACTAACGTTTCACAGAGCTCAGTGAGTGAACACTGACTTTCAGAGCTTCAGGTCAAAGGTTTGAATCCGGATGATAACTAATGATTTTTCATTAGCCGTGGATTGTTCTTTGGTTCAAAAAAAACTTCTGGGGCATACCCAGCCTTTATATAGTGGGTACTCTTAAAATTAACTTATTAATAAAGGAGAAAAACCTGGCGGTTGAGTAAAATCGCTTCCTTGCACAACCGTTAACCAACTGTACTTCAATGGTTAGGAGTGGTTAAATAATAATAAAGTTTTACGTTTTTGAAATTGGGGTTCATAACTTCTCCATGGAATCGTTTCAAATCTCATTCGTGAAAATCTATAGCTTTAGAAATGGATCTATACAATGATATTAATATATAGTGTAGATTTTTGGTAGGAAGAGACTGTCGACATGATACAGGATTTTACTTATTTATGAAATTTTCCAATGACCAGTGAAATTAAATGAAGTTCCCGATTATCCGACATGAGGTTGGTACCTGATGTCGGTTAATCGGGAACTTGATGGAAAGCCGCTGGGATGGTTGGAAAGGCCGAGGATTTAAGTTTCCTCAGCAGCCACCCCGCCTCAGCCAGGCCGGGCCCTCTGAGACAGAAACCGGTTCTCCTTGGATGCGATCAGCTTTATTTTGGTACCGCCTCGGCTACTCCGAGACCGCTGCGTCTTCCACCATCTCCATTCATAAACATTTACCGACTCTTACCTTCTTGTTTCCTCACGTCTTCCGGCCGGTAATCATTATTATTTACAAGGATGCTTAGGTGGATAAAGGCCAGAGATTATGCCTGAAGTAAAACCCACATTTATTTATATAAGAAAGGAAGGAGATCTTTAACCCTTGCTCCGGAAC